ACTTTTTTTATAATTAAAAACCTTCCAACAAGAAAACCCTAGACTCATGTAACTTCACTGATGAATTCTGTTCAATATTTAGGGTCTTTTAAAAGCTTATCCAAAGAGTAGAAAAAGAGTGAATATGTCCCAACATTTTTCAAAATTATATAATCTTGATGCCAAAATCTGTGAAGCACATTGTGAATGACAAAAATTACATGCCATATCTGTTCATCAATGTAAACTTTTAAAAAAGTATGAAAATGCTAGGAAATAATCTAGAAATTTATGAAAAGAATAATACATCATGATCAAATTGAATTTATTTTAAAGAATATGAGGTTAGTGTAATATTTGACAGTTAGAATCTACTGTATTAACAGAATTAAGACTATTTTGAATGTTTCAATAGATATTAAAAAAAAATAAATGTAGCTATCCACTTGTGATTTAAAGAAAACTCTTAGCAAATTAGGGAATGGAGGGAATTTTTTTTTAATCTGATAAAAACGCAGCTATAAAAAGTGTACAGACTACTGCAAACTTTATGATGAACTGTTGAAATCTTTAGTTTTGAAATCTGAAGTAAGTTGGGGATGATACACTCTTATTTGACTGTAGCCTCAAGATATGCTGGCTAGCTCCATAAGAATAGCAAGAAAAATTGAAACAGTTTTAAAGCAAGGAAAGTAAATAAATACAACTGTCATTTGCAATTTATATGAGTATTTACATAAAGAATATGAAGAATCTACAGAACTTATGAGAATCATAATAAAATAGAATTTCTTTTGTTGGTTACAAGGCTGATAAAGAGAAACCAATAATGTGATCATATACCAGAAACTGAAAGTGGAATTTAAAAAATATGGTATATAATAGTAGACAAAACTTCTGGGAATGAATCTAACCAAAAATGAATAGGCACTCAGAAGAACTTTACATTAAAGAGAAAAACCAAAGGTGACTTGACTTAACCAAATGCAGAAATTATACCATGTTCATGGTTTTGAAATCTCTATTGTAGTCATGTATTGATCCCAGTGAATCTCTGCAAGTATTATTTTAGAAATTGGTAGCTTATTATGGACTATATTAGAAATGCAAGGGCCAGGAATAGCAAAGATACTCTTGAAGAAAAGCAAGGTAGAACTTTCTGTCTTTTAAAGGTACAGTAGTTAACAGTGTGATATTCAAGCAAAGATAAATATATTGAAAGAATAAAGAGCTGTGAAATAGACCTATATGGATGTCTGTTTATGACAATTATGACACCACAGAGCAGTTGGAAAAGGATGGTCTTTTCAGTAAAATGTGCTAGAATATTTGGATAGAAAATAATAAAGAGGGGCAAGCTGATGGCATAGCAGTTATATCATTGGATTCCTATTTGGCTGACTGTGGTTTGGGTCCTGGACCCAGTGGCTTGAAAATCACATCGGGCACATGCGAGTGCTTGCCCAAGATCTTGGGAGGAAAAGAGATTCGAGTATTTGGCTATCTCCTGTGGGCGTAATTTCTCACTTTCTCACTTCTCTGTCTCTCTCTTTGGCTAGCACACATGCCCTAAGGCAAAAATCCTCTTAACAAAACAAAAAAAAAGGGACCAGCTTGTTAACATTGCTGAATTACCACGTAGTTGACTGCAATTCGATTGGCAGACTTAGACCCGTTGGCTTAAAACTCACACCCGGCGTGTGTGCATGAATTTCCAAGATCCTGAGAAGAGAATGAAGGAGAAGGGATTGCGGTGTGACCATCCCCCCTGGAGGGTGATTTCTTGCTTTCTGTCAGTCTCTCCAGCCAGCACATGTGCCCTCTAGCAAAAATCTCTTGGGGGAAGAAAAAGAAAAAGAAAGTTGTCTTATACACATATACCAGTTTCGTGGATGCTGTGGACATTTACTGGAAACCATAGTAATAAAGCTTGAAAAAGACAATATGGGATACCTCGATGACCTTGGTGTGGAGAAAGACTTCTTTGGAACAGAACGTAGAAAACACTAATCATAAAGAGAACAATAACTTGAACTACGTTAAAATCAAGTCTTTGTCATCATACACTATTAAAGAGGGAGAAAGTAAACAGAGGGTGGGAAAAGATACATTTTTCAGCTTATTCAGCAATTAGAGGTATTGTAATTTATACATTTAATGAATGTACCAGAATGACGTAAAAAATATACCCACTAGCCATTTGAGGTTTTGGGGAGGAGACAGAGCAAAACATTTTAATTTTGTTCTGTTGGGGGCATAATGTGTACAGTAATATCTACTATATTTATTTATTTATTTATTTATTTTGGTTTAAAAAAATTCTTTATCCAGCAGAGTATTATTTCTTTTTTTTTTTTTGGAAGAGGTTTTTATGCTATAGGGTGAGTGTGCTAACCAGAAAGAGAGACAGAAGGTGAGAGATCACCCTCCAGGGGGGATGGCCATGCCTCAATTTCTTCTCCTCTTGGGATCTTGGGCACACATGCACATGCGCCTGGTGTGAGTCTAAGCCACCGGGTCCATGACTCGAACTGCAGTCGACTACATGGGAGTCCAGCGACATAGCCACTATGCCAACTGCTGGTCCCAGAGTATTATTTCTTAAGGATCAGTTGTTTGTTCTGCTTCTTTACCTTGTACTATCTCTTTCATGTTAGAGGTCTTTGGTGAACCTTGTCTGTTCTTGAGTATATTTGAGTATAAAGTACTGCACAGTTGAATTAGAAGCTTATGCTCACAAACAGAGCATGTCCACTACAGGCTTCTATGTGAGGTAATTACCTCAAGAACAACCTTTGAGATGGTGGTCAAATGCTGCAACTTGAAAGTCTTTTCTCTGGAATGTTTTAATTTTTCTGGAGACAAAAACTCTAGATTACCTGCAAGTTAGGTGCCTGGTTATTGGTGTTCTCTCTGTTATTTTCACATTTTCTTTATTGTTTTCTGCAGAATTCAGGTATCTGAGTGTAGAGTTTCTCTGGATTTTTGTAGGGCAAATTTTCTATTGATGATACCCCCTTCTAAAACATGCTATATGAAATTGTAAAGGCCTGAGGTTTCCTAAGGAAATTTGTACTGGACTTGGTAGGCTATTAATTGTTGATTATATGTCATACTTTGTACAGGCCTTTGTATTGTGCTTTGTGTACACATGCACATTCACTCATCACTGCAGTTAGCATTATCTTCTCTGTGTAATTGATGTTTGCTTGGTGTGACATTCAAATTCTAATTTATAATTCATATTTGAACTCAGATACCAGGTAGAGTCTGTGTCCTTTCAAACTTTGAATACTTGATCTATTGTATACTACTTGAATTTATTCAGATTGGAAATGTGGGAAGGTCAAGTTGACTTGTGATTCTAAATTACAAGTGAGTATCTTGTTAAAATGTATAATGGGATTTTAGGTTGAATAAAGAGGTAGATATTATATCCTGAGGGCAGTATACATGCAAAGATAAAGGGCTTTATTTGAATATAAAGACGTGGTTTGGGCAAATTTCAGAACCTGTGATCTAGTAGAGCTAGCTCAAATACCCATAGCTCTAAAGCTGTAGTTCTCAAGATGAGATGAAAGGAATTGTGTCAGAATCCCTTCCAGGGAGTGATGGCTGTCTTCATTTGAGACTCACTTTCTAAGATGTGGCAGTACTGGTGAACAACTTTGTGAGGCCAGGTAGGAACAATTAGAGTGCCAGAAATTGAAGAAGTACCCAGCATCTTAAGCCTGGAATTTCTAGCATGTTATTTTTATGTAATGATACACTAACAATAAGATAAATTTAGGAAAGAAGTGAATAACTTGGTATGCTTAAGAGAATCAGTATCTATTTGGTTAAGTAAATGAAAACTGCTAATGATTTTTTTGTGGAACTGATGCTAAACACTTTTTGTTTTTCGGTCATTTATGTAGATGTCATGTGTCCTAGACCTATCTCAGTTAATAACAGAAATAGTCAAGTCTAGGTAATTTATAAAGAGTAGAGGTTTATTTAGCTGAAGGTTTTGGAGATCAAAAGTTAAAGGGCTGCTTCTGGTGAAGGTCCTCATATTGATGGTGACTCTTCAGAGTCCCCAGGGTGGTGCAGGGCATCACATGTCAAAAGCTGGAGCAGAGCATGTATTCGTGTCTCTGTTCCTATAATGCTACCAGGAATCAGTACTGAGGGCTGCATCATGATGACCTCATCTAATCCCAGTTACCTCCCAAAGGTCTTCTCTTTCAGCACCAGAGTTGGACAAAGTCTGACCTCTTAACTCTTTTATGAAGGCCTACCAAATTTCAACATGTCAACTTCTTGAGGGACACATTCAAACCATGGCAACATGTGAATGCTTTTCAGTATTCATAGACTGTTCTTTCGATTGACCTTTTTTTTTTTTTTTTTTTAAGAGAGATTTTTGCTATAGGACGTGTGCGCTTGCCAGAGAGACAGACAGACAAAAAGCAAGAAATCATCCCCTGGGGGCTAACCATACCGCAGTCGTTTTTGACCTGTTTTCCTCTTGGGGTTTTGGACATGCACACAAATGCGGCTTCCAGGTCTGGAGCTCAACCACGGTCAACTATGTGGGAGTCCATGACATAACCATTATGCCGTATGAGGTCCCCTGATTGACCTTTATAAAAACTTACATACAAATATTAGAAGTTTTGCTTCATTATGAAAAAGACAGTTGGAAAATTTGTGGAAAGGATTCTCATTTATACTCTGGTTTAGATAACATACTGATGAACAGTTCAGTATAGTATCTGTTTAACTGGATACAGTTTTTCAAAATTCACTTTGTATTAATACATATAAATATTTTATGCAAAACAATGAACTATTGTAATTATACCTCAAACTTGGCCAGAAATTGATGAAGTCTCTGTTTTATTTCAACTTAGTATTAAAGAATTTAATGTGAATAATAACATACACACACACATACATGCTTTAAAATAATAATAAGAATAATCATAAGAACTATAATTTCCAGCAAGTAAATAATATGTGGTGACTTTTTTCCCCAGTTTAATTTTGTTGGAAGAATCCTTGGACCTAGAGGACTTACAGCCAAACAGCTTGAAGCAGAAACAGGATGTAAAATAATGGTCCGAGGCAAAGGCTCAATGAGAGATAAAAAGAAGGTAAGTCCGTGAAAACGGGACAGATCTCTATATCAGTAATTTATTATGTTTTTGCATTCTAACAATTAAACATCCAGAATTTTTGTGCATAAAAACCTGTATTCTGTCAGAAACTTGTGAACTTTTTAGAGATATTGTCATAATTTTCCATAATTAATTCACTTGTAAACTAAATAATTCATCATGTTAACTGACCTTAATATTTAAAATACTACAGATGAACATGCATTGGAAATAATTAATTTGAATGGCTATCGTATGTTTGATATTATGGTAAGTGAATTCTGTGAAGAATTTTTATGTCAATTTATAACATCGAGAATGTCCTCCATGATTAAAATCATCTTTTTTTACACTGTAGAGTACTCCATGTACTCTTTCTTTTTTTAAAGAAAGATTTTTGCTATAAGGTGTATGTATTCACTGGAGACAGAGAGACAGAAAGTGAGAAATCACTTCCCGGGGAGATGCCACACCATAATCCCTTCTCACTCATTCTCCTCCCCGGATTTTGAGCATGCATGTGCATACACCTGGTGTGAGTTCGAAGCTGCTGGGTCTTGGATTCAAACTACGGTCAACCATGTGGGAGTCCAGCAATGTAACTGTTACACCGTCTGCTGGTCCCACTCTCTTTTGTACTCTTAAAAGTAACAGAAGTAAAATGAAAATGAAGGCTGCTTGGGTTTGGACAGTGGTGCGGTGGTAATTTATGTAATGCTTTGTGAGGCTGACCCACATTGAAAGGTTTTGGGTTTGTGCCTGGAGACATCCCTGAATGCACTGGGTACAAGCATGGCCATTATCCAGGGCTGGCTAAAGCTGGGGGTGGATCATGGCATGAAGATTCTGTTGGGTGCCTTCCTTCTTCCTTTTTACCTGCCTTTCTGTCACTTTTGCTTGCTCATGGAAGAAAGAAATAAGGTTTTAAGAAAAAGATAAACAAAAAAACCTTTTCGAATGGAAAGTGCTCTTATTTGTTGCTTGGGCGTTATTTTGGTAAAAACGTGGTTAACCGAGAGAAAAAAAATAATTGGTACAATAAATGAAGCTGATGGGGGTTTTAGAAAGGAAAAGCTGTTTGGCATTAAGCTTTTTTAGAATTGCCAATATGTATGAAAAAGGTAGAAGACTAGAAAATAAATCTTAATTTATTGATTGCCTAGTTCACATTTAATAAAAATATGATAAAATGCTATTTGCTGATCTGAACCCTCCAGAAAGCTAGTATGATCATGCAAGAACAGACTGTGTCTGTTTCATGGAGTATTTCTTTGGTGCTTGGTGAGTACCTGGTCTAAAGTAATCAGTAGGAAAAATACCTATGAAAGGAATGACTGGTTCAGCTAACTGAAAAGCAGAAATATACCTTGCTCCATCCCCCTCTAAAAGGTTTTGAAAAAAGGGAAAATTGTAAACACTGTGTGCTTTCATTCTTTTGGGAAGGTGCTAAGTTGCTGGATTTAAGCAAACAGTTAATAACACAGTACTTAATATACCACTTTAATTTTCACTCTCAGATTGTATTCAGCATTATAGAGAGACTCAGTAGCATCATGGAACCTAAGAACTACAGTCAGACTTCATAAGAGACTGCTCAGGGCTTGGACAATTACTGGGAACTTTTCTCTATACTAAGTAGCATAAGGCAGTGCTGATCTATAGCAGGCAGACAATATTCTCTATCTCCAAAAATGAATATAACGTAATAGGACATGGTTTGAAAATATTTTGCAAATGATAGTACTTTTTCTATGCATAAGTCTTCCGATTTGTATTGTGTACTTTGTGTCAAGCATTATTCCTCCAAGTATCTTACATACATTTGTTTTAATTACCCATGGTTTTATTATTCCTATTTTTAGGGGAGAAGTTGAGACTCAGGAAAGTTTAGTAATTTGTCACCAGAGACATGCCACATTACTTTCTAATTATAAACTTTTTTAGATTTTAAGTTAGTATTTATTTATTTATTTATTTAATATCACATTTAATCACATCTGTCTTTATAGTGTGTAACATTCCTTTTTCTAGCACAGTCACCATACATATCAGTCAAGACAAAGACATTACTGTACACATCATTATCAGCAAATAGCTTTTCATTTTTTTTGTCAGTTAAGTATACTTTTTTATTCTTCTCCTGTTTCCCTCCTTCCCTATATCCCTCCATTACCCACCCCTATATTACCCCATCCTTACTATCTCTAGTATCTACTATTGCCTTACCTGCTACGATACCTTCCAAACTTTCAGTTTCTGCCATAGAGCGTAGATAATCAGTATATATTGAGTGGGGACATGCTGAGTCTTTTATAGTCTGACTTGCTTTGCTTAGCATTAAGTCTTCCATATTCGTCCACTTTGTGTTAAATATTAGGGTTTCTTTTTTTATGGCTGAGTAGTATTCCATAGAGTACATATGCCACATTTTCTCAATCTGATCATCTATTTTTGGACATTTGGGTTGATTCCATGTCCTAGCGATTGTAAATAATGAGGCAATAAACATGGATGTGCAAGTGTTTTTCCAATTGACGGTTTTTCTATCATTTGGGTAAATAGCTAAATGTGGAGTTACTGTGTCATATGGTAGTTCAGTTAATAAGTTTCTAAGAAATATCCATATCATTCTCCAAAGCGGTTGTACTAATTTACATTCTCACCAACAGTGCAGGAGAGTTCTTTTTTCACCACAGCCCCTCACCAGCACTTATCATTATTTATCTTCTTAATTTTAGCCATTCTGACTGGGGTTTAGCGGTATCTCATTGTGGTTTTCATTTACCTTTCCCTTATGATAAGAGGTGTTGAGCGTGTTTTCATAGACTTTTTGCCATTTGTATGTCGTCTTCAGAGAGACGTCTATCCAGCTCTTTGTCACGTTTTAATTTGATTGATTTTGTGTATGTATGTGTGTGTAAGCTGCTTGAGTTCCTTGTATATTCAGGTTGTCAGTCCCATACCTGAGGTATAATTTTTGTTAGTGGTGAGAGATAAGGATCTAGTTTCATTCTTCTGCAGGTTGATAATCCAGTTCTCCCAGCACCATTTGCTGAAGAGATTTCTTTTTCCCTAAACTTTTTCTAAGAACGGTATCAGCTTCAAAAATACTAGAACAACCTGAATACTGGGTAATGTAAATGTTGATTCTGAGGTTTTTATAAGTATGTTTTGTAAAATTTCTCTGAAATTTTTTTTTCTTTCCCCTTAGTGATAATATACTTGAATAAGTATGATGGGGAAAACCAAAATATACTTCCTAGTCTGACACCACTCAGTGCAGTATTTTGACACCCAATGTGTGGGCATTTTTCCTCACACATCAAGTAATGAGTTCTCCATGGGACACCAACTAAGTCCTCTATAATTCAGTTCTGATACTATCTAGGTGATGTGTGCTTATGGCCAACTGACTATAAATCTATTTTCCCATGAGCCCTTCCTTGGGTTTGATGAATTTGCTAGAGTGCTTTACATAACCCAAGGAAACATTTTGCTTATGTTTATTCATTTATTATAAACGATATTACAGAGGATATAGATGAACGACCAGATGGAAGAGGTAGGTGCACAGTATAGTGTCTGGGAGAAGGGGTGTATAGCTCTCCAAACACAGAATTACTAGGTCCATGGACATGATTGATTACATCACTGACCATTGGTGGCCCTCTCAATATTCATCCTCTCCCCACTCCCCAGAGGTAAAGGGCGGAACTGAAAGTCTCACTGATTATATAGTTGGTTACCTCTGCAGCTAGGCCCCATTCTGAAGCTATACAGCAGCCTCCAGCAGTTAGTTATCTCTTTAGTATATAGAATACACGTATTACTTTGGAAAATCCAAGAGGTTTAAGAGCTGTGTACCAGGAAACTAAGACTAAATCCTGCATGTCTTATCAATCATAATATATTATTACTCCTTTGTTTTTTCAGGAATGTTTCCTGAAGTATTTAATCCCATATTTTCTAATAGAAAACTATACACTTGAGCTAATTACAGATGCTAGGGAAGATTGTTGTGGAGTGATTTATTAAAGGGTAAACAACAGTCTACCTTTTGGGGCGTCTGTGTGAATGGTCTTTGCAGGAGAAACAATTTGCAGATTTGTCTTAAGAGTCCTAAAGTCTTCAGGTCTTCTCTGAGGCCTCCTCTATCATAAGTAAGAGAGGGCTAAGTACCATGCTTAAGAGTGTCTGCTTTTCACCCTTTATTATTGTCCTGCTCCTCCCAGCCAATCATATGTGGTAATGGGTGCAATGTTTTTAGTTGATTAAAACCAGATCAGTTCAAATGTTGTCTTTTTCTTTTCTTTTCTTTTTTTTTTGGCTGAAAGGATATCATTTACTGAATTAAATAATACAATTTTGTATTGGTACTTGATATAAAAGACACTTTGCATTAGGTCACCACAAGCAGTTTTATATATAACCATAAACAGTAAAAGAACACAAGAAAGTTTTTGTGTGATCTCAGAGGTATCCTGTCTTTACTCAGAAGAAAACAAAATGTTTTTCAAAGTTAAAGCTATAAGAACCAGCAGTTAGCATAATGGCTATGTCGCTGGACTCCCATGTAGTCGACCGCGGTTCACGTCCCGGACCCGGTAGCTCAAAACTCACGCCGGGTGCATGTGTGTGCGTGCCCAAGATCCCGAGAGGAGAATGGAGGAGAAGGGATTGTGGTGTGACCATCCCCCCTGGGGGGTGATTTCTTGCTTTCTGTCTCTCTGTCTGTCTCTGTCTGGCGAGTGCATGCGCCCTATAGCAAAAACCTCTCAAAAAAAAAAAAAAGTTAAAGCTATGAAGTTCCTAGAAATACAAAACACTTTAAGCAAAAACTTTTTAAGAAAAAAGGACATTTTCTCATCTTCTACTCATGGCATGAATTTAAATTCTTTCCAATGGCACCAAAACTCCTCTATTCAGCTGTTATAGGGTACATGAACTCGCCAGAAAGAGAGAGAGACAGAAAGCGAGAAATCAGCCCCCAAGGGGGA